TTTGAGAAGGAAATTTCTAATCATATTTAACATTCTAATAATTGCCACTATTGGTATTACTATTAACAACAGGAATCAGGACAATGTATTTCTGTTATGGTTCTGCTATTAGTGAACTGGATTTTCTCAGCTTCTTTAAACCTCAGTTTCCTCATCTACAAGTATGGTCACCAGATGATCACTTATGCCCATTCTAGCTGTATCAAAGAATTAAATGAAAGACATTGGATTGGTAGCAGTCATGACATTTAATCAGAATAATATAACCACATTATGGGTCACTGCTAATTCAGTAGTTTGATCTGATAGAGCAATAAAGTTGATACCAATTTGCTTTTTTTGATAGAATAACCCTTCCCACCTGCCTCCATCTCCTCCCTCGATAAAAAAAAATTTCATTATTGGCATGTCCCTAAGTAAAGTTCTGGTAAACAAATGATTAATTCATATTACCAGAGTTGGTTTCTACTTTATATATAGTTTGTCTTTATAAATGAAAGATCATTGATTTGCACATGAAAATTCCACAATGCAAGGTTTTTTAGAAATTTTTTGTTTGCTTTTTGTTGTTCATTTTTTTTCTATTTGCTTTTCTTTTTTCAAAACAAGACAAGTAAATTACAAAGTTGGTTTCACCCCAGCTTGAAATTAATGAAAAAAATCCTACACTAACAACTTATATGGTACAATTTCAGACTTGTACAGTTTCCAGAATTTTCAGAGAGGTAAAGCATTAATCTTCAATGTTTAGTATTGGCTTGGTGCCTGGCATTTTGTTAAGAGCTCAAGGAAACACAAAACAAAGTGCAACACAAATACTGTCCTCCGGAAAGTTACAACCGAGCTGGGCAAGTATGCAGGAACCAATTTAATAACTGTGCAAGGTACTATGTGGTCCACTGTTAAAATGCATCTCACCATCAAGTGCTAGCCAACTAGAAAAGAACAAGATCACAAAGGGCTGAAGCAGTCAGGGAAGAAATTCAGCAGACAGAGTGACAGACAAGAGAACAACAAGTACAAACAACCTTTATGTGTACCACATACTCCAAAGAAGCACTTTTGAAAGAGCTCCTTTAAACTTCATCACAACCCACTGAGAGAGGTACTAAAATTCTCTCCATTTTGCAAGCAAGAAATGCAGATTTAGCACCATCAACCAATTCATCCAGGATTGCACAGCCTAGGAGTCTGATGCATGTTTGCAGGAGGTTGAACTTGAGCTAGATTCTCAAAGAAAGGGAAGCCTTGGGGAGGAAGAGGAATATAGTAGGAGTGTTCTTGGAGGTGAGAACAGTGGACAGAGAGGACCGGGTATAGGAATGCTGACACTCCCATCTCCACTCCTGAGAAGAGATGGAGTCTGACATGGGGGTAAAGCCAGGCTCTGAATAGGCTGAGTGGTGCACCTGGGGATTTTCTTACTAATCCCCACACTAACTAACTGTTTTAAAATAGTAAAAGTTTAGGCACCCTTCAAAATGAGAGGCTTTAATTCTGTGGGCTCTTTGATAGGAAGTGTTTGGAATTGCTGTAATTTCGAAAGGCATTTTAATTTTCCTGTTTTAAATCGAGATACTAAAGAGTAAAACTAATGACAAGACAGACATTCTCTTCGACACTTTACAAATCCAAGTTAGGTCATAACATGTGTCCCAGGCAACGAATGCTGGATGTTACATTTGCATGATGGTAAAGCTAGTTTATGGCTTTCCATCTCAAGGCGTCAGCATAAAATACTTAGGCAACAGGCACCAAGAACAGAAAAAAAGCAAGTCATTAAAAACACACTTGAATGCTTTCTGAATGATGTTCGGTTGTTGTTTGTAGATAAAACCCACAAAATACGAAACATCAGAAACTTATATAATGTGCATTTTTATGCTTCATTTATATGCTGTGGAATCATAGTATCACACTTTTTCCAGGAAGAAGACAAAGCGATTTTGAGGCTATTATCTATCTATTCCAGTGCACAGTCTAAAGGTATTCTTACCTCGCAGTTGCTGAGATCAAGAGAAACCCCCTTCAAGCTATGATTACAAGCCAGGCCCAATAACAGTGCTCTGAAGGGAGGAAATACACACATTAGATACAAATTCCATACAATGCACCCCCCAAAACTATGTAAGCACACTGAATAAAGCCTGGAGAAAAAAGAATGCCTTCTCTGAATCATAGGTCAAGCATCAAGCACACTCTCAGTTTTTATAATGCAAACTGCATTTCCACCTCCCAACAACAGTGAAAAAAATGATGCTGCAGCATTCTTCTGTCTGACAGGCAGCAAGTCCATCACAAATGCAAAACCTGGTAGGACTGCTATTCCTATGCAAATAAACCAACAGCACACCTAATTGCATATTGAAATTAAATTGTGTTCATCACAGATAAATTCCCACCTGCATCTGCTTGAGAACAGCCTTAATAATGTTTAGAATATTATTAGGCAATTGTTATTAGAGTAGCAAAGTAAATCTTGTTTTCCCTAAGGAATACAGTAGTGAGGAAGTCAGGCACCACAGTATTACAAGGATATGAAATTATATCCAGATGAGTATACTAAAGACCTAAAGAGGTGGGTGGGCAAGGATATAGAAGCACTGGAAATAAGAAGGCACACATCTTGAATTTGAGTTCAGGATCCTGCCTGTCTGGCTACGTGCTGGGCCACAGTGAACTACATCACCACTCTGAGGAATTTTCTCATTTGCAAATTGAGGAGACTGGACTCATCACTCAGATCTCATATCTCTTTAAGAAAATGAATTGATACCACTTTTACAAGTCAGTCCTATAAAATCCAACATCACTGAGCAAGCTTGAAACAAAAAACGCACACATGCACACACACCCATTAAATTACACTGAATGGACCAAAGGCCCTAAGTTGGGCTTTGTGGGGAATACAAAGATGAGAATGAGAAGGCTCCTGCTCTCAAGCAAAAGAGACAAATAATGCGAGCAAATAACTACAATACAAGGCAGACAGTGGTAAGCACTGGAAGAGTGGAACCCAGGCATCTGCTACCCAGGCTTGACTGCCTGCACTCCATGTTCCCAGGAAAAGGACCTCCACCCAGCATACTCCAAAAATCCTCCAGGGTAAGGGTGAGGTGAGACGGTAGGGAATTTTTTCATGCCCAAGTCTCTGAGATGTTCTCCTTCCAGCCATTCTTTGGCCTCCCCCGCTGAGAGAGATCCCCAGCAGTTGCATGGAGCACACAGCAGAGGCTGGAGGTGAGTGCCATTCTATTTGTTTTCTAAATCCAGCTCATTAATGCCTTATCCTTAAAAGGTTGGTGTATCTCATCTGTGCACATGTTCAATTACTAAATTTCTCCTCCATAAAAATTGTTTTCCCCTTTCTTTTGGGTGGTAGTATTGAGCCACTGAAAGTACAAGGACCATCCTCAGGTCTTGGCTCTATTACTAACAGGTGGGTGACCTTACACACATCACTTTTTTGTGTTCTCATCGGTAAAATGAGTGAGGTAGGACATTACCAAAGAGGTCCCTTTTATTTCCAATCTATGCCCAGTTTCTAGGACTTAGCCACATATTTCAACATTTCATTTTTACAATGCTTAGATGGAAGAAAAATACTTCCTACTTTTTGTACATGTAGATTAAGGTGAAATAAATGGGGTGCTTGAAGATATTTAACTGGAGAAGGCCACTGATTAGAAGGCAATAACTCACGAGACAGTAAAAATAAATTACCCATACAAACCGTCCTTAGTAAAATAAAACAAAACGAACAACCACAACAAAGCCTCGTGGGCACTGGGGGAAAACTACAGCACAATGTGTTTTTATCTTAACCTAGTGATGGCAGAACTGTCTTAACTGTCTTGTTTATAAGGAACCCCCAATTAAGTGGAAAACTTCCGATATTATACCTAACAAAGTGTTCCTATCAAAGGAAGCCACGTTTCTTTAGCTTATTCTCTCATGGCTACTAATACAAAAGCCTTCAAGAAACAAGGGTCCCCTCCGCCCCTCTTGGTGCACTGGAGGGCAGCACGGGGTCAGGAACAGGACTGAGCCCTGTTCTCCCCCTTCACTGGGAAGGCCTCCCAGCTCACTGCCCCCTCTGTGCAGTCCTGCTTTCCTTCCTCTCCCCCTTCACAGGTGGAAATCCCAAGAGACATCCCAATAGAAACCCTACAAACTAATCTCCATCTCAAAGTCTGCTTCCCAGAAAGCCCAACCAGCGACAGTGAATTTGGGCAAATTACTTAACTTCGCTGAGCCTCAATTTCCACAAATGTAAAAATGGGGATAATGATACCAGCTACCCAAAACTGCTGTCAGCATTAAGTGTGACAGTCCATATACAAGCACCCAATACAGTGTCTAGCTTAGGGTAATACTTTGCAAATTCTCCTCCATCCCTACTGTCTCATACATAAACTTGAGCACTTCAGCTTTGTGAAATCTTTTCAAATTATCATATCACATTAACTGTGCATACAGAATTTTGTTAACAGAACGTTCAGCCATAAAGACTTCCTCACATTAATATTGAGTAAAATACAGAGCTGAAGAGACTACTGATTTAACATTATTAGACATTCACATAAATAACAACAGGTCCAAGATTTAACGATTACAAAGTTTCTTTGAGGTACATTATTTACAGGTATATAGCTATAATAAAGTACAGTACATCGAGTGTTGTTGTGTTGTAGAATATTTCATAAAATCAATTACATTAAACAATGAAGTGTGACTCTATGTTACACAGGGGTCAAAAACACTGAAATAATTAGAATACCATGTACTTATCACTAATACTATTTTGAATATGCTAATCCCCTGCTGAAACACGATGAGGACAAGGTTTTGCTTTCTATTCAGTGCCCTCGTAGTATCCAGCACCCTGCAGATGCTCAATAAATATCAAAACTCATAAGTAAATGAGTACAATTAAATTATAATGAAACTCCTTTAGAATACTGATTCTGATAGGTTTCTTAACACAAAAGCCATACTCTGAAGCTTTTTATTATTTATGGCTGTTGCATTTAGAGACCTCTGATATATTAATTCAACATTTTCAAAAAAAGCCTGCTATAATATCAGACATTTTCTTAGCACTTGACTGAATCTACCTTTCTTGAAGTACCCATTGTTTTAGTCATATGGTACTATATAGAATCAAGAACTTTGCATCTCTCTCAAAAAAAAAAAAAAAGAGAAAATGCAGTTTATAAGTTAGGTGAAGATTAATTTTCTAGTAAAAT